TATAGGATTTACATGCATTTCTATCAAGTTCTATCCATAATATAATTAGATACAAATATTATCCATACTTCTGTACTGAGTGCTAGAGCTTCTCGCAAATCCAGATAATGTATCTTTTCTCAAAAAAATTACTGTCAGAGTACACTCCTATGCTCTTAAAGTTGCTGTTCTACTGCTGTTCTGGTAGTAATAAATGCCACACATAGTATACCTACTGAGAGTGGTCATTACACACATACGGAGAAGAAATTTTACATGCATTTCATGTGCAGATGTTTCTACTCATGGTTTACAAATCTGATGACAAATAGTGGTCAAAACATTAACATTTTTGTACACAGAAAGCAATATATTTACCTAAACATTTAACATAATTTTAAAGAAAATTGGGGCATTTAGTAGAAAAACTCTAATGACTAAGTTTTTATCTGTAAAAATGGCATGAATATTTTCTAATGAGGTTATAACTTTAAACAGGTATACTTTCTTCTTTGAAATCAATATCGAAAAACTATATTGCAATTGTAGCCATACAAAATGTTTATTATATTACAAATTATTCGTATACTATATTTTCACTTTATCATTGCTTTGTGCTCAGACAGTATAAATATTACATTATTTTTCTTTCCCAGGAATGTCCTTACTGTCTTGATATAATCTTTGTACTTAAAAAAAATACAGAAACATATCAAAAACAAGATAAAAAGCCATTATGAATGAAGAATGTAAAATGTCTTTGTGAATAAAGTGCACCACAATGGTTTCAGAGTGATGGTCGATGGAATATTCAATAGATTGCACATTGTTGATACAATACCAAACAAAATTAATTTTGAAGGTCTAACAGGTCTTCCTCAGTAGTATGAAGAGTACTTTGTTTAACTTTACTGAAATGGTTTGTCTTTCTAGAAGGCTATTTAAAAGTTTTTATTTGGATTTTTTTCTATTTGTTCATTTTGTTTATAAGTAGGCATTCAAACCCTGTACATCTACATAATTTCCAGACTTTTCAATTTCCAACATTGCAAGATAGATGCTTGGCTTCATCCGCACATATTTTTCAACAGAACTACTAAATCACTTTAAGAATATGTACAGATTTAAAAGCAAAGCTAAGTGTCCCAAAGACACTGTTTACATCTGGTACATTCTACCTCCTGTGACTCTTTTGGGAATATGTCATAACATTACCCTTCCCAGCCATATGGCTTCAGCACTCCCATCCACGTGATTGCTGCTGCTTCCATACTTGCAGCTTTATGGTAACTCTGCAAAACTGGAGTCTAAGATACAGAAATCTATTTCACAGCACATTTCACTCCTGTTGCATAGAAGGGCCTACCTACTTGCAAAATTTCACTGGGCTAAATAGAGGAATCATTGAAAAACTGAGGTAATAAAGGTGATGCAAAATGTGGCTGGCACAATTTAGTGTAGATTTCACTTCCCAAGTTATCTTAAGCCAGTTATGAACAAGCTTAGGCTAAATAAAAGTAAGCTGCTCTTCAATTATGTCTGCACTTATGTTACACTGATTTAAATGACTGAAAAATAAGCAGTCGTTCAAGGCATTCCAGTGAAACTTCCACGTATAGACAAAATCTAATAGAGAAAATCAGCCTTGCTGTCAGCAAGTGAAGTTCCCACTGAAGCCAACCAGAATTAGTCTTATGGCATGCTGAGTTTGGCCCAGTATTTTTGTTATTTTTGTGTGATATTCTTAGGCAGCTATTAATTCAACACAAAATGACATTTGGATGTATTGTATTACACTGATAATATCAGTATTAGTGAGCTGATAGGTAACAGACAGCAGTTTGTCTGTACTGGACTTCTATTTATATGAAAGATTGAGTTTCTTTGGTTGTTTATTATCCAAGTCACCCAAATGTATATTTGTGTACTCCAGACGTAGCATGTTTATATTGATTATTAAAATTACTTTTTTTCTTCTTTTTTTTTTTGCACTTGGTTTATGGAAATTTTCTGACTCTAGCAGACTAGTCACATATAAATATACAGCACATATATACATAGAAATTACAAAAATACATTTTATTTATGTTTGATCTTTAAATAATAAAAATTACATTTCACATTTGTTTAAAGATTAGCTAGCATTCCAGAAGCTTCTGCAATATTTAAGGTATTGGAGCAGAAGATATCTGTGCATTCTAGGATAACAATGTATCACAATCTCAGTCACGGTTTGTAATATAATTATTTGGGGAAAAAAATAGTTCTGCTTTAAAAGTTTGTGCTTCATCAATTTCTTCTTCTGTTCATTACTCTAGTCTCTGCTCTCCTTCTCTCATTTTACTAATGGCCAAAAAGTTAAACCAAGTCTCCTTTCTCACCTCAGTAAAGACCAAAGAAATGGAAAATGGACAGTGGATGTGCTCTACCTTGACTTCAGCAAGGCTTAACACTATCTCCCATTACATCCTCACAGCCAAACTTAAGAAGTGTGGATTGGATGACTGGATAGTGAGGTGGATTGGGAAATGTCTAAAGGGCACAACTCAAAGAGAGCTGTGGTCAGTGGGGCAGAGTCTAGTTGGAGGCCTGTGTCTAGTGGTGTTCCTCAGGAGACTGTACTGGGGCCAGCCCTGTTCAATATGTTCATCAATGACCTGGACGATGGGATGGAGTGCACCCTTAGCAAGTTTGCTAGCGATACAAAGCTGGCAGGAGTGGCTCACACACTGGAAGACTGTGCTGCCATTCAGCATGGCCTGGACAGGCTGGAAAGTTGGGTCAGGAGAAACTTAATGAAGTTCAACAAAGGCAAGTGTAGGGTACTGCATCTGGGGAAGAACAACCCCATGTATCTGTACAGGATGGGGCTGCTGGAGGGCAGCTCAGGGGAAAAGGAACTGGGAGTCCTGGTGGACAGCAGCTGACCATGAGCCAGCAATGCAGCCCTGCAGCCAAGAAGGCCAATGGCATCCTGGGGTGCATTAAGAAGTGTGTTGCCAGTAGGTCAAGGGAGGTTATTGTCCCCCCCTGCTCTGCCCTGCTGAGGCCACATCTGGAATACTGCATCCAATTCTGGGCTCCCCAGTTCAAGAAGGACAAGGACCTGCTGGAGAGAGTCCAGTGTAGAGCCACAATGATGATGAGGGGACTGGAGCATCTCCCATGCAAGGAAAGGCTGAGAGAGCTGGGTCTGTTGAGCCTGGAGGAGACTGAGGGGTGGATCTCATTAATGCTTATAAATCTCTAAAGGGCGAGTGTCACAAAGATGGGACCAGACTCTTCTTGGTTGTGCTCAGCAACAGAACAAAGGGCAATGGTCACAAACTGGAACACAGGAGGTTTAACTTAAACATAAGGAAAAAGATCTTTACTGTGAGGATGACAGAGCACTGAACAGGCTGCCCAGAGATGTTGTGGAGTCTCCTTCTCTGGAGACATTCAAAACCTGCCTGGATATGTTCCTGTGTGATCTCTTGGTGATTCTGTTCTGGCAAGGGAATTGGACTGGATGGTCTTCACAGGTCCCTTCTGACCCCTACCATTCTGTGATTCTGTGAAATGAAATTATCAGACAAAATAGCATAAGCAACTGATGATAACTAAATAACTTACTGAAATGAAGGACATTAACTCCAGTTAACATCAAACATGCCCAACACAATGCATTTTGCAACAACTTCAGTTCCCGAAGCTAACTGCTGAAGGAACTGGAAACAATTGTTTATGATCTCCACCTAGTTTGTATAACTACAAAAGATGAACTATTGTCCCATTCACCTGGTTTAGTTTTCTTTGGGATTGGATCCATACAACAATGCAGTTTGACAATTAGTGACCTTTATCTTGCACAATATACAGTCAGCAAGATTTCTGGAAATGCTGTCATTTTCACAGAACATTAGTATTTTTGTTAATCCATGTAACCATTTACTTATTTACATGTTAATATAATAATCAGGTCCTCTACATTCAGAACTTCCTAGATGTGCATTCACAGGGTAATCAAATTCAACTGCAGCTTCAGGTAGCACTTTCTGGCATCACATTAGTAGATATCATTGTTTAAGAAAGAGAAAAAAGCACTGTGTTAAACAGAGGTTTTCTTGTCCAAGAAGGTGGATTCATTATTCCAGGTTGGAAAGACTTGCTCAAAGGTTTACCAGTTTCACGTGCATTCAAAGTGAAAAGCCTGAATATAGAGCAAATGCCAATAACCTTTTCTCATTTAGCCTGGAAGCTTCTAGCACCAATATCCTTTGTTGGCTTTTGATGCATTGTATTCTCTCACACTGAAATAAATCTCCTCCATAACTCATCAGTGGCATTCAGGGACAAAGTAGTCATCGATTATCAAAATATCATTCATCTTCTTCACAGTCTTCTCTTCTTTCACTTCTTTGTACTGTTAATAGGATGAGGAGAATTGGGGCTATTTACAGTACATTTATTTGTATTTCTTACTCTTCTCCAATTCATTTGGTTTGAATACAGTCTCTAGAATGAAAAGGCTGAATGACTCTGCATTGCTGAAATCAGCATCCCTTATACAACGTCCTGCAGCAAACAAGTAACATGGCCACTGCCACACCTACCATGGCCTTTAGCTAACCATGGTCTACTGTATTTTCTTCTTTAATCACAGTTTTGACATGCAGAAGTTATTTTCAGCAACTCTACCTTTGGACCTGCAGACGAAACATTGTGTGGTGCAGACATGCTCAGCAGCATCTCTAGTGATGATGGGTCATAGTATGAGAACCAAGTAACAAACAATTGCATATGATCAAACTTATCCATATTAAACAGTTACCTGGCAGCATTTACTTAGCTGGCAAGCAAAATTATGTATCTTCAGAGTTCTGTTGCTCTACATTAAGTCATTTCATAGTGTTGACTTTTCAGAGAGAGAAAAATGCCATCACTTTGGCACAATTCACAGCAAGTATGTTACTGAAAATTAAAGGAGTCGTTTTCTTGGCTACCCTAGGTTGCATGATACAAGTACTGTGCAGAAGATATTAGACCTGGAACTCAAACATATCTGTTTGCTTCTTGGCCAGTTTAGCAACTTCTTCTCTTATTGCCTTTACAAGGGCAGCTGTAGAAATGTTGGTGAGAGGAGCCTCAGGTGGGTCATTTTCGGTCAGGCTCTGCTGAGAAGCTGCAGTGGACGGCAAAGGAGCTTGTTCCAGGCTGGGATGCATGCTCGCTTGCTGGCTGTATTGGCGAGGAAGTCGTGAAGGAGAATTATGCTGGTAGCGGGGCCTTGGATAAGCCTCGATGTATCCAGGAAGAGGAACCTGTAGAGCATTGTAATTACACAAAATTATCCAGAACAATTGATCCATAGTGCCACCTGCGAGGTAACACAAACATCCACAGGGCAGAGTAAGATGTAATGGATAGGACCATATGAAGAGAATGTAAACCTCATACTCCTAAGTGTCTGCTTACAGATGTCTATCTTAGTATGTGCCATTTATGCACGTATGTCAATGTACTGGGTACTCAGCTCCCCAGGCTGTGGCAGCAAAAACAGCTAGCAGAGAAAACATGGCATGTCCTAATGTATCATCACTGCAAAAAGTCAAAGGGAGAAGACTTTTCTGAAAGTATGTCCTCTGCTTACTGTTCCTCCCAACCATTTCTGATTTAAACAGACAGCATCACTACATTTCAGGACACCGAAAAGCCTAGAACAGAAAAGTAGTTTGCTAATTTGCAGCCACTGTCTAATACAAGTCAGCCAAGTTTCTGGACTTACTGTTCCTAACAAAAACTCACTAGATCCAGACAGCAGGGATAAGCTCAGGTATGCCAACCTGGAAACACTGAAAAAGAGGTTTGACCTCTCAGAAGTATGAGGATTTCTGGTCACATTTAACAGAATTACATGGGGGATTTGCAATTTTACTCTGCTGTGACTTCACTGATTTCAGCCCCATGCTACATTGGCTAAAACTAAAATAGTAACATAAGCCCTTTAGTCACCATGAGATAATAAATTTCCTTCACAAATCTGTGAACTGCAATACCAGTCTTTATAGTCCTCAGAAGTTTTTAATGCATCAAATAAAAATTGTATTTATGTATGTTTTGGAAAAGTCTACAAAACAAGAATCTACAACCCTTTATTTTGAAGAAGCCTTTATGTTGTTACAGAAGGCAATTCATAACCTATTGCTAGGACGAGATAATTTCTCCTTGAGAAAGAGTTTACCAGCTGATCATTCTAGTCCATTCCAGTGACAAGTAAGGAAGGAAAGTTCAGTGGTGCTTTTTTATGACCTGAGTGACTTAGAAAACTACACTTGCCTAGGCCATACTCAGAATACTACACTTAAAAGTTAACTGATAAACTCCCACAAGGTTTAGTCCCATTTTGGCTCTGTCTCTGTGCCAGTTTAACAACCTCTTGGGTGCTTTTAAAAATCTTGCTACTTTAGACATCTAAGAACCTATGAAAACCTGACCACTAGGATTTCCACATGCTCTATACAGTCTTGGATGTCCATCAAGTGATGAAAAGAACGTCAAACACATACAGTACAGTGTGATGAGACAGGAAGCAGGCATGCTATAAAAGTGATCATTAAATGCAGTTCCCTCTGTTTAGTTTACAATAGGTTATTCAAGACAAACATGTTAGTAGTGCAACATATGAATACGCCACTAGAGGCCACCAGGTCATTTCTTTCATTAAGCAGCATCTAGCAATTTGGAAAAGAAATGCTTTGTTGGATATAGTTGCCTTCTCCCACAAAACTCAGTGCTGCAATACTTACCATTTAACTGAGAAAATAATACATTACAGTAAATTGAGCTTATAAAATAATTTGCTGTAAAATCTCCTGTTTCCTTTGTTCCCTTATTTACAGTCCAGCAAGTAGAAATGCATGAAATTTCAGAATTTTCAGGAATTTCAATTTTCACCTTATAGACATTAAGCCTCTGTTTTACTAATTGTCAAGCTATTCTTGGAGCCATGATCAAACTATAATCTAGAGGCTCAGAAACTAGGAAGCATCCAGAAGCACAACCCCCAAGTATTACTGAATAAAACTGCAAAAATTAAAGATCTTCAGGCTTTCTGACTGTATTATGTCACTAACAATATTTCTAGTTTCTCTGATAATGATTTTCAAATAAAGACAATTCCTTGACAGATTTGATGTCATTGGGAGGTGCAAATTAGTTGTAGAAACTGCAGTGTTTTGTTTTTACATTTTTTCCTCTTCCTCCTGCAAAGGCACAGAAGGGCTGAAAATCTGAGTGAAAAGAAGTTGCAGCTCTGTAGTGGGTATGTGAACTTAAAAGGAATATTTTTTTTCTTTGAATTCTATATTGACACAGTTATTTTTCAGACAGCTTCTCGCATCCCTATGCCTTCCTCAATGTACAGGTCCACTGGCACTAACTGCTCTTCACACCTCTTT